ATGAGGGGGGCAAGTGGTACATTTGTAACTTTAAGGGGGTAAGTGTTACCAGCCCTATACTTTAAGGGTGCAAACTGTATTGAGCCCTTAATTAATTAACACAGTCAACGTAGTCTTGAAAAAGTCACTGCAGAAAGTATTCCGCATGCATATATATATGTTTTCTAAAATAAAATTTTATTTTGAAAAATTATAAATTATGTGGATAATAGTAGAAACTTGTAAAAAAAAAAAAGTTCTGATTTTCGTAATCAAATGTTACGTTCCAATTATACGGCAACTTTAAATTACAAAACCATACAAAATAATTAACTCATTCGTTCCATAACATATGTCACGTACTTCAGAATTTCAATACTGCATTAATTACATACTTAATGAAATCTTCAATTCATGTGAAAAGCTAAAAAACGACAACTATAAATCAACGGAGGGAGTAATTCTTTTTCGCATGCTTTAATATTGAATAAAAAGAAGTGACTAGTTATTACTTATTATGAGTTTTTTAGTGATATGAATCGTTTAATATTTTTATTTTCAACACGTACGTTCCTTCATTTTATCAAGATTACATTTTGGATCGAGCGTGCACGTGAACTCTTAAAATTAGTGATGAATACAAGACCTTTCATTTAACTCGGTCCGAATGGCCACCCTCATCTAAAAGTTTAAACTTTTTCACAATAACGAGATAATTAAACTATATATATATATATATATATCAGTGTTCTAAAAATCGGCCGAGGCGGCCGATTAATCGGTCTCCGAGGCGGAGGTGGTCCAAAACCTTTACGATTTTAGTGTAAAGGTTTGAAAAATCGGTTTTTTGCCTGTGAGGCGGTTTTAGGCGGTCTGAGGCGGTTTAAACTTTTAAGGCGGGTCAAACTCGTGGCAAAAATCGGTTAAAAATCGTTTTTTTTTTCTTTTCTTTTTATAATTCAAAATAAAAGTTGGATTTTAATAAAAGAAAATATGAGTTTATGCCTTATTTTGTTTATGATAATTGTTATTGTTAAAGAACTAATGATGTATGCCAGGAATGTTCAAGAATAAATATAAATTCAAAAAAAATGTTTTTTTATTTATATTTTATTAAGGATATTTATGTATTATGATCTTATGATTATTAAACTTTTATTATGTTATTAGGATATATACACGATGGAGATATAACTATGTTTAAATATCTTTTTATATATGTTTGGAGTATTTATAAATAATATTTAGAAATATATTATATTAAATTTTAAAAACCGATTTATTTCCGATTTATCACCGATTAATCACCGCCGCACCGATTAATCGTGAGTCGGTACCTGACCGACTCGAACCCGATTACCGCTTTTTACAACCTTGATATATATATAAATAAATAAAGAAGCCCCACACGTTGTAGTACTATGAACATGCAATAATATCCTACACATCCACTAAGAAGAAGAATTGAGCATAAATAAGATTTCTTCTTCAATCTTATCATCAACAATTTCTTTGAAAAAAAAAAAAAAAAAAAAAAAAAATATACATACACATATTCAAATAATAATAATAATATAATGGAAGGAGAGAGAGTAGGGTTTCATCATTTTTCAGCTCTGGATATGGGGTTTGTCCCCAGCTTTGATGGGGATCACAATAACCAGGTCCTAAGCTTCTT